AGGACGATTTGCAATGGTTGCTAGAAATAATTGGAAACAAAAAAATTACTGCTTGGAAATTTTGATTCTATAATCTTAAACTCTCTGAAATAAATACAGATAAAGGGATACTTACAAAAAGAAAAAAAGTACCTTGATAAGATTAAGTGATCGAATGAAGTAAAAAAGCTGGAGGACGTTTTTTAGACATTACTTCGTTAATGATGCCATAAATATCAAGACGATATTATGCCTTGGGAATTAATTAATGAAATCGATCATTTCGAAATGGAAAGTCTCGATAGTTCCTTAAAAATTTTACTGCGGATGAGGCGTACACAATGCGTGCGAAGTGTAACGAAGAAACGCTAAAACCGGTTTTTCACGACCGGGATCAAGTTAAATAAGATCGAATACGATCTTTCTCTGTCCTTTTAAGGATTCTTCAATTACCAAAGAGACATCGATCATGAAATATTGCCAATGTGACTGTCGATATAAACGTTCTTGTTAAGAGATTATGATTGCAGAGACTTTATGAACAGCTTTTTATATATGCATGCAATTAAGAAAAAAAAATGAGCTATCTTCATTATATTTAAGAAGAATGTGTAGCTTTTTATATTATATATATATATATATGCAATTAAAAAAAAAATAAGTTATCTTTATTATAAGAAGAATATCATTAAGTACTTCTTTATCACCAAGATATAAATCGTGATTATTCATTTCTGTATTTGCATGTTTCAACACGGAAAGTACGGAAAAAATTTATCTAAGATCAAACACAATTTGGACTATCAAAATAATTATATAGGAAACTCACAAATATAATGAACAATAACGTAAAAAATTTTTACATTTTAATAGCCAGTTTAAACGTCCTCAATTATTTTAATAGTCCAACAAAATTATTTTTAGAGCTGTATCTAGCTAAATTTTTAAATGCTCCACCAAATCATTCTTTCCGTGAAAATATACATAGTGAGGAAAAGGAACCTACACAGAAAAGATTATGCTATTGTATTACTTATTTATATCAAAATGTATGCAATTTTAATAAACAAACACGCACACATGCAGCGTCAGTTAAAGCTCCTGAATAGTCGCCACAGTCATATTAAATCGTGACGTCAGAAGCCAGAAATGACACGTTAATTTTTATCGAGTGCTTTTATTCAGGCTGTGAATTTTCAAATTTACTGCCAGCACTAAAAATGTTACAGTTTACGTTACATATACTACAGATTTTCAGTACTGGCAGTCAATTTTGGAATACAGCCTTATCACGCATATGTAGCCTATTTTCATTTACACGTGTCTTTAATCACTTTTTATTTACTGACTGTCAAGAGAGATAAGTATAGATTTTGTCCATTTTTACAAATGTTTAAAAAAAAAGTCATGTCATCATTTTGTTTTATCCAAATTATCTTTATTTACAAATGGTACGTAAAATTAATGTGTCATTTCTCGCTTCTGACGTCAATATGGCTACGCTGACTACTCAAGAGCCTTAATATCTTATGTAAATTAATGTCTTATGTAAATAAATAACGTTCCATGTTCTTAAATTTCAAAATGATTCATGCTACTGAAACTGACGAGACATTAATGGACTGTCTAGCTAGAAAATAAAGGATTCTTTTTGAGCTGAGATTCCCACAGGTTAAAGTATAATAGATCATATTTAGAAGGGACTTTCCCTCGATAGAACTTTCGTTTGTACCTCATCAGATTAATTAGATATTATTGAGCATTGAAATTTGCGAAAGACGTCGATCGTCCTCGATGTTCTTATTTTCTGCAGTATTATATGCAAATACCCGTTGTGAGAAACATTGTGCGTACACTTTGCTCTAGTTCTAAGACACCAGGTGTAAGTTAAAGTCGGTAGCTTTATCGGGCCGAACATTGTCCTGGGACAATGCGACAAGAATGCAAGGCACGCTCTTATGCCGCGACGAGAGCATGCAGAAAAGAAGGTGTGTATCAATATGTTTTCAGTTGAATTCTTGCCGAGTCAAGAGAGCACCGAGTGCTGTCCTAACGTCGTGGTGTGTTTGATATCAACCGAGTGGTCCAATAACGCAATTGCCATTGAGATTTGGGACGCTATTGTTTCACAGTAAGTCCATGTAGGAGTCAAATTAGCGTTAAGTCGAGCAAGAAGTCAGAGAACCGTATGACTCTTTTACATTCGCATACATTAAAAGAAAATAAGCAAACCTTTTCAGAAAAAAATCTCAAAAGTTTGTCCTGTCTTTGAAAACTAATTCAGATTTAGTTCTGGTTCATAATTGCGTTTCAAGACCAAAAAAGATTTCGTCGCGCGGTTTGAATTGGATATGTTCATAAATTCACTCTGAAATATATTTGAGCACTAAGATCCGCGCGCTTTGATCGAAAATAGATTTATTTCTCTTAATTGATAATTCAGATTAACTATGATTTACTGCAGTTTATGTAAAGAACTTACACTACCACGAGAGTAATAATGAATTAACAGAATTCCATGAAGCATATCTCGATAAAGACATCAAGTATATATACATTTACACATTGGTGAACACGCAGTTGTGTTATCGTGTTATTATGTACTTATTTATACCGTTGTCTGACATATATTAACATCATCCGCTGATGAGATGTCAATCCGGTTAAATTTCGGCATTTCGAATGAACGTTATCTTACGATTCGATAATGGATTACGTCACGAAGACTTACGGTGCGCGCTCACGTGTCACAGGTGTTTCTGCGAGCGACATCATCGTTACAGGCGTAATCGTCCGGTTCATCATTCGTTCGCTCGCCCGTTCGTTCGTTAGTTCTGACGTAAGAACGCATTGTTCTCACCTCGGCGTAACTCAAGCTAAACGTAGAACGCATTTTCCCTCATTTGTCGGCCGGAGCGCGGCGCGAAAGGCAGGGGAAAAAACGAGAACAAGATGAGAGAGACAGAAAGAGAGGCAGAGAAAGACAGAGTGAGAGAGAGAGAGAGGGCGGGGGGAGGGGAGGGAGAGAAGAGAGAGAGGAAGGGAGGAAGGGAGAGGAAAGAGAAGAAAAGGACGCCGCGGTGCTGGAGAGAAGGTGAAGGTGGCTCGCCCGTACAAATGTGGAAGAAGGTAGCGGCGTGGAAAAGGTAGAAGAGGGGCCTTGACCGATGCGTGATCATCGGCTGTGGACAACGAACGGAGGTTCGTGCAACGTTCGACCGATTCAGCCCGGCAGGAATGCTCCTCCGCTGTACCGTTATGTCGCGGAACGCCTCGGCCGGACGATCTATCAGCGGCGATCTAGAAAGCAAGCGCGACGAAAGTGTTCCGGTTAGGAAGCGAAATTCTGATCGGATCCTCGCCGCACCCCGTCGACGAGTGCCGTCGACGTGTGATGTTCTCGCGTTTTTCGATGAACGTCACTCGACGAAAACAAGCAGGCTGTATATTCGTATTCTTCTCGATCTGTTTCTATTTTTTGTTTTTTTTTTTTGTAATTGTGCGCAACCAGCGTGGCGACACGTTTTGCAGCGTCGCACAACGTACGGTTCTCGGCCAGGAGATTCGTGGCTTTAAAGATAACAGTTTTTTTCGGATCGTCAGGAACCGGTTCGAACGAGGAGCCACGAGAAACTCCGATAGGAGTTACTTACGGATTGTAACAATATTATAAAAATGCATTTTTATGACGTAGAATAGAAGACATTAATTTGTATAAAATACAAAATTGGCAGTGATTTAAAATCTAAAGTAAAATCTAGAGCAAACATTATTTTAACAAAAAATAGACACACGCACACATGTTTAAAAAAATAATTAAAATAAAATAAGAATTTTTTCATTCAAATTTTTAAATTGTATTGTTAAATATAGATAAATATTAATCTTATTAAAGTGTTTCATATATACATAATATTCATCTTTATATAGAAAATATAATTTTCAATTCCAGTGACTGTTTGCAACACTTGATATACCTTTAAATATCATTTATATTTAACTATTGTATTCAATAATTATACGAGAAGAAAATCGTCTTTGTTTTGAATTTTTTTCTTTAGACAACTTCAAGATAATTTGAAAAAGATAATAGTTTCTCGCAATTTTCTAATTATTCTATTTAATTTTGCATATTTTTGTGATTAATTTTTAAATCAAGGCTTAAAGTTTATTAAAAAATAGTAAAGCCTTAAAGTTTATTAAAAAATTACGGAAAATATTTTCCTCAAAGTTAGTTTATGTCTAAAAAGCCTCTTATTTTTAATCACGATAATTAATTGAAAGTCACAAGTGCTCCGACATCAACGCAAAGAACAATCGATTCCAAAGCAGCTGAAGAATCGGCTCGACACTTTGCAGCTAATTATATCTCCTCAGAATAACAATTAAGTTAAAACTGTCACGAACTAAAAAAATAATGATAAAAACATTCGAAGGAAGAGGCGCACGATACGTTTGGATCGTCGACAATTTATCTATAGCGACGATAAATGCGCAACAGGTTTCCACACATTTTTGCGGAAGTTGCGCGTTACATAACATCAAGTGTCATACTTCCTAGTAATGTAAAAAAATAAAGAACGAAAGGAAAAAAGAGCGAGAAAAAGAGAGAACAAACAAACGTCGTCCATCGAAAGGAAAAGTCTTCTAATAAAACCAGCAGTCAGTCGCACGTAATATGATAAAGATTACAAAATCAGAACACTCTTAATCCGAGAGAACTCGAAGGATCAGGTTGAGAGATCGGAATAAAAAGGATTGTCCGATGCAAGTGCTCGCTCTTTAAACGTTAGTTTGCGATTCCACGAAAGGTTCTTTTTCGGTATTTTTTTTTTTATTTTCTTTTCGGCCGGGTAATCGGCCGGGCGCGTCCGGGCGCATATTCGGAGCATATTCAGAGCGCGAGAGAGCAGGTGGAAGCGGTTCTGGAGTAGGAACTGGTTTGGTGGGAGCCGCGAGGTGGTCCGCTGGTACCTCTCGGTGTACGCCGGCATGCCGCTCTCGGTATACGCTGGCACGTTGTCGCACGAGTATATTCATGCCAGTGGCGGGAGTCCCCGAGGGAAGCCGGTGGGGCCTCCTCGCTCACTTCGCCGACAAGTGATCGTTTACAGTTATAGTCAGTCCGCATTGGGCGCTCGGCCGGCCCTGACTATATATCGGTACACGTAGTCGTTGATAAAATATCGCTCCCGATTTTTTTCGGATTTTGCCGGAGCAGCCTGCTCCTCCTCCTCCTCCTCCTCCTCCTCCCTTTCTCTCGCCCTTTCTCAAAACGAGAAATTGTGCTGAACAACAGTGATTCTCTCTTCCCCCTCTTTCTCTCTCTCCCTCTTATAATTTAATTATTTTTTTTTTTTATATTTCCTTATCGTGATTGCCGATAATTGTCGTTGACGTTGCTGTTTACGAGTTGAAATTGACAGCACCCGTCGCGACAGACAAAGCGTTATTGATAATCGTCGAAGGCAGCGGGCTCGCGGGCTAAGTAACGAATGATGATTTGGTGGCAAGATCAAGTGAGTGTCGTGTGAAAGGAAAAGTGTGCGGGACGTTCCGGCGGCGAAAAGCGCGCTAGTGCCAGACGCCAGTTTCAGTGAGCGTACCACTCGCACGGGGCACTGATGGAGAATAATCGACCGGCGAGGTAAATAACACATTTTTACGTTCGCGACACCCGGGCGTGAGACGGCGAAGCGAGCGAGGAACGAACACGTCCGCACTTTTGCGCCGTCCCGGAATGCGGCCGCTCGCGATCCGGAACCGCAACGTTCTTTCGACGACGTCAATCGAGGGGCCTCGTTTACGGACTGTGAAGAGCTTTCTAACGCGCGCGTGCAATCTCGATGTAAATAGGAAAGAGAACCGATACCCGAGGAACACGCAAAAATCGACCAAAAATCAATTTGACTTGATTTGGAAAAATTAACGTCGATAAACAGTCAAAATTTTGTAACAAAAAATCATCGTTTCGACTCGCATGACGTCTAGATAAAGACATTTTTCTCTTGACTTGACGTATTCCTTGGATACAAGAAGCATTCAAAGTGCAGTTTCCATGGCTTTTACCGCGACACGTGTTCTCTATTCTTTTGAAATTAAAGGCGATTTATAATTAATAAGATCAAATTATAAATTCGATTTTAACGATAGATCTAAATTATTCAAAAAATGATTCGATACATCTTTTTGGGCCCGAAGAAAACTCAAACGTCAGATTACTCGGATAGCTTACGTAGCGAGGCGGCGTGGCGGATACGGTATACGCCATCGTAAATCATAACGTGGCACTCGAAGGTTATCGTACGGCGTTAATTATTATCGAAGAGATCATTCGATCGTATACATAACGAGCGTCTTCGACAATGAATATATGTTTGATGATACACCGCGCGTCCGTCAAAATTGTCCAGAAAATTAAAACAAGAGATCGAACATTTCCTGCCGCTGTTACATCGCCCTTGACACTTTATCCGATAAGCGGATACTTCTCTTCACGCGTCAAGAGCACCGGGTATATCTGCGCTGATAATAAAAGCAAATTAATACTCGATAATACGAATAAATGGCAATCAAAATGGCGTGCTGTTTTCGAACGGTCTCCAACAGAAACGTTTTGATAAGAGTACTAGAACTTTTAATAGTTTCTCCATGTATATATGCAAAGTATTAAAACTCTTATCGTAGTGTTTATATAATTCTGATACGTATATATATATAATATATATATATGTGTGATTTTTATATGAAAATACATCATGTATTTTATATATATGTACATATTTATGTATATAATTTATAACACGTGTAACTTTTAATAATTTCTCCATGTATATATGCAAAGTATTAAAACTCTTATCGTAGTGTTTATATAATTCTGATATATATATATATATA